AACATTTTTTCTTTGTTTAGCCATGAAAATGTTTGGGCTGGAATCTCTCTAGCAACCCATGCAAATTGAGCAGTTGTGCGTTTATACACACCCACGGTTTGATGATTTGTTGCTTTGTAAACAGTAACCCGAGGAGCTTCTCAAACACATGTAGTTTGTGCACAATGTACATAAATACCCGGTATGTATGGAGACATGATTCCAATTTCTGACTTTCACTGGTTATGTACAACTACATGCACGTTTAGTCTAAGAAATATTTAGAAGTATTGGATTTTTCTCATGGATGTTTCTATACTCAATGTTACCACGGATAACTTTGGGGGCGTGACATGGATTTCAAATCAGGTTTTACGTATAATTGGTCAGCTTTCAATCTGCCAATGAAAAGCTTTGCATTGAAAGCAATATTTAGGATAATATTTGCATTTCATTACCAATAACCAACACTTTGTGATAAAATGTCTGGTCATGCCACTAACACTAAATCTTGAAGACGAACATTTTCTTGACTACTGCAACAATTCCACAATTTTGCTTGTGGAGCTACTGTATTGGATGATTATGTAATTTAGATTTAATGTAAATTTAGAAACTATTTTTTGTGGGAGGGAGTCCAATGTTTTTGTTGTGGATTACATTGATTGAAACTGAAATATATCATGTTATATGTAAGAAACATACATACTGAGACACTAAGACCCTACAGTGTACATGTAGGGTTCAATCATGAAAGAACTTACTTCATGTACTCGATGACACATTGGAAGGATCCAAATTGTTTTTATTAAACAGTGCAGGTACGAAAACTATCATTAATTTACATGTTTGCAACTTGTGTGCAATGTACACAGTTTACAGTCATATAGACTTTCCCATGGGGTGTGTGTAAACGCACAACTCCTCTGTTTGCATAGGACGCAAGAGCACATGCACACACATACCTGTTTTACATACAAAGTGTTGACATTCCTTTGTTCTCCTGTTGTTAAGGAAACTTGAGGAAAATACTCCTTTTTCTTTTACTGGGATAACTCTTTTGAGCTGGGTTTATGATGATGATTCCCTGGATTGTTACTCTTCATTTTGCCACGTATGACCTTGACCCCCAAATGCCTCTGAAAGTGTTTTTTTTTTTTTTAGAGAGAGGAAACATTGTGTAGACGTGTGGTAGTCCACACAACGCCGTCACACCCTTCACCCTTTAAACGACCTATTCAAATTCCGTATAAACAGCTTACATAAATAACAATAGGTCTACATTCAAATTTCATACATTTCTGGATATTTACCGTTAACCTGTAATGACATAGTTTGTTCTCTGAGGGCATAGTTATGAAATACGGTATGCACCATAAGTGTTTTGAGGGACTTGTTAGTTCGATGCCTATGTTCAGCAAATGTACGTAACGTGCTCCATCATACTAAAACGACTGTGTAATGTACTCAGGGGTGAATCAATGAATATGTGCATGTTGATCTTTGGATTGTGACGAACACGTAGGGCGTACACAATCACTGTTAATCGCCTTTTTATCATTTAGGACATGGTTTTGGTGATCATGTCGAAATTTGGAAAAGGGCCATTTGTAGAGTTCAAGAATATACTCAGAATATGTCAGTGCAAATTCAAAGCTAATTTTAGTCAGTTCTGTCACCTAACATCACTCTCCAGAACTACAGAGCACAGAAAGTACAGGCAACAAGTTCCAGGACTTCACCCATCCAGCTTCCAAACCCAGCTGCCAGCTGTCTCCTTGTTGGGCTCGGTGCACCCATGCTCACGATCATTGTGACCATGCCTATTCGGCGTCAACTCCTGCAATTTTTTTGCTCCGCATCGTGAATTTGGTTTCAGTTCAGCTTTTCTGGGATTACCTTGGAATAGTCTGATCAAGCAAAGCCCATTAAGCACTCTATAGGTGCAATATTAGGTACTTGAGGTCCCAAGAGGTCTTGAGTAAGCACGTGGGCCAGTCAAAACTGTCATCCCGATCGCATCCATGTGTTGACGCAAACCGAAAACAAAATGGTCGATACATGCATGTACAATTTGTGTTGAGGCCTGATGACATGAAATATTACAGTTCAATTCCGTCGATATTTTGCACGATTTTTTTCACAACCTTATATCCAAATTATCTAGAAATCATGCAATAAGAATGTGCGACAACGCTAACTTCAACCGATCGCCCAAGTCATGCAGGTCGGCTGATCGCGCACTGACATGCGTGCTTAAGCATAAACTGTATATGTATGTATATACAAAGTCTATGGATTTCAAAATGTGTACAAAGTGAGTGGATTCCAAAATGTGTTCAAAGTGAATGGTAGCAATTAAATCTTCAAAATTACTTAATGGATCGATTGATGGCGGCAAAGTGACGTCATACCTCTAGGTTCATTTATGCAATATGGTCTGTGATTGGACCAAGTTTCATTTTGTGGAGTGGCCAAAGTCCATAACATTCTTGCAGTTGAAAAACGTGTACAAAACCTATGGGGGAAAAACAAATATTCCAAATTCAATACAAAAATCAGGTGATGACGTCATTTGACGTCATGTTGCCATAGGGTCTCTGCTTGGGGCAACTTTGATTACCTTGGAAAGGGACTAAAGTGGTACCAAGAAAAAAATGTGTACAAAAGAAACGGGATTTGGGAGAGAAGAACAACCAGGAGAAGCAGAAAATCTTGACAAAAAGAATACCTCTTGCGCCAAATGTAAGTGAACCAAAAAAAAACCGTTGCAAAAAGAATGCCTTTTCCGCAACTTGCGAAAAAGCCAAACAAATTCTTTTTTGCAAAGTTGCAAAAAAGCCCCCCCTAAAAAAGACAGTACAAAAAGAATGCCTTTTTTTGGAAAATTGAAAAAAAAGCCAATTTGGAAAACAATAGATGTTCCGGCTGCCAGCCGAAACAGCTAAAGGGGAGGGGGTACAAGCTGAACATGCTTTAAGGTGAGAGCCCCTCAATTGCAATTAAGTGAAATCAAAGTTTTAAAAAGAACAAAAAAACTTGTCAAACAACATCTTTACTGACTGGTTTAAATCCAACAGATAGGTTATATCATTGGCATAGGTATTTTTGGTGTGCACGATTTACACATTTTCTTGGGTTTGACTGATAAATGTGCAGTGGGATCTTGTAATGTCCCCAGAAATTTTTCAAACTCTAAGTACATGTGGACAATCTTTCCCAGATTTTGTAACTGATCTCTGATGTGGTAGAAGGTATTTGACTCAGTTTGTTTTATCCTCAGGTGCCTGTTTTATTAGCTGTGTGGACAGGCAGACGTTCTTCTTTTAGAACCTGAATTTGACATACTTATGCGCTTAAGCTTAAAAAGGCTAGGTTTTGAAAAAAAACTGAGTTGCGCATGTGCTCATGGGACTGTCCTGTACATTTCAGATTAAACTAGAACATCTAAGTCTGAAGGTCTGAAAAAGAATCAGCTTGTAATTTTGAAAAGGTTATACAATAAATGATTTAAATCATTTCTTGCGAAGCTGCTGGTATTTGTATTTTACACCTAACCCTGGTTAACCCAAGCGAAAAAGAAATTGAGAAAAAAAATCCAAGTTTACAAATACAGTACTGATATTCACTGTTGGGTTGTAACAATTTAAGCAAAGGCCAACACATTTCAACAATGGTCGACTGCCGAGTGCGGACGTCTTTTGGGATTGACTCTTCACATTTCTTGTATTACTTTATTCCCACCTTGTTGCATAATAATGCAGTAAAAGTAGGTCTTCACATCTGGTATTTAAAGACTAGATTGTACCGGAGAACATTTCACCACTCCGGCAAAGGGCTGTTCCCCTTCAACGTCAAACACGGAGCATAACGAAGCCGTGTACGCCTTGTTACTTTTGCTTGCTTTGACTGAGCATATTATTTCGGCCTTTAGCCCAAGAATTTGATACAGACCATATTACCACTCCTAATTCTGGCGATCCATGAGAGGATGTAACTTAAGTCACACTGCCGCGGAAATTGAGATTTTAAGGCATCTTGAATCGAGTTGCAATGCATAGAAGATACTTGCAACAGTAAACGTGACTTGGGCCAAAAGAGTTGATACAGTATTCCAGTACATAAATAACGTTACTAGACATGTCTTGGGTGTAAACATTCAGAACGGACATAGTAAGAAAAGCCCTGAAGTCTGTGTTACTCTTGAAAGTAATTCCACAAGGAATCACAGCACAAAGCAACCCATCAAGTGATCGGGAGATTTGTACTTACCTCAGAAGTCTGTCACATATTTAATCGAAAACAAGGTCAAATAACGAATCCAACAGTTCCCTACTTGCCACTATTCGGCATGACACATCAGATCCTAAATCCTAATATAAATATGACAGATTCTAGTGAAGCTCAACGATTAACTTTTTGGCCTCATTTTGTTAAAATTGATTTAGAGTTTTTCAAACAACAGTCACTCAGACACGACCAAGACCACATCCAAATTGCACCTCAACATATTTATGTGTCAGAGGGCTTTTTTCCCGTGTAAATTTAAATAGGTTATTATGGGAAAGCAGTATAATATAATCTTATGCTTATTTAAAAAAAAGTGTACACCATAGATAGAATCTCGACTACTGTAAAATCCTGAAATATCTTCCTTGAAAGGAAGTACATAACAGTCTCAATCAATGTGTAGAATATTTCCACCTAGAATGCTGTAGTTTTCGAGAAAACATGTTTTTCTTTTCTTTTTTTTTGACAATGGTCGGCCGAACGGGCAAAATTATCAATTTTATTAGCCCCCTTTGTGCATGCATTCAGTTTAACATAGTGTATGTTTCTGATTACAGTAAAAACAAAATACCCTGGAAATACGCGTGTGCGTCCTTTAACCTGTAATGGGAATTCCACGTACATACCAATATTAGTAAACTCCATATACACGTATTTCAGTCAAGGGGATACGTATCTTTAAGGGCTGTGTTATAACCAACCCTAGAACTGTCATTTGAACTTGCTCAACAATGATCGACCTGTCTTTCCCGTATCCATCCAGGGCTGGACTTCCCGTAAATCCATCCTATATACCAGATATAGATTTGGAGCTGACTGACAGGATGACGATTCTCCAGCGGGTCAAGAACGTCTTGGCACATTACTACCACAGCTACTTCTCCCCTCGTAGTGGTATTATTCCGATCGACCTTTGTGATGAACTGAAGGTCAAGTATAATATCAGACCAGAAATCAGTACGTTCGAGTCCCACAAACAAGCACTCTTGTACTTTGTGCACGGGAGTTTTGGAGTGGATTATCCTCAACCAATGCAGCCAAATATGATCCCTGTTCTTTTTACTGCTGAATCACCTCACATTGGAAAGGTTAGTGTTTCAAACTTTAACTGCACTTTTTTAAACAGTTTTAAACGCCTCTCTAGCAATAACGATGTAATTCTAGTCAAAGAAAACAATTCGATAAAATTCATGTGATTGGAGTCAAAAGAAACACATTAGGTCTATTGTCAGTAGTGTTTTGGTCCAACAAGATGATTAATCATCTTTTGATTGGGTTCTTGACCAATTAGAAGACCAGTTTGGGTTCTGGTGACCCTCATTAGCATACGGAATGTGAAATGGAAATGTACTATTTTACATGGGGCTATTGGGTAATCACCACGAAGTGACAGATTGTGGATAACAAACTCAGGTACCGAGTGCACAAAGCCAATGGACGGTTAGCCCCCTCTTGGGTGCACCATTCGTAACGTCACTCCGTGGTAAAACCTTTGATACGAGGGCAAAACGTTTATATACGTTATAAATTATATCTACTGCGTCAACACTGAATCATATGTATGTGTTACTGTAAGCGACATGGTGTATGTAGGTTGAGAAAGTGTAACTGTATGATCTTTATCATACAATACGTCTACTAGTCCATAGTGATGTGCAGTATATTGAATCCATTAGAAATGAATTATAAGAGCCCAATAATAAAAGTTTTACAAATGGAATTTTGAGAAACTGTTGGGGTACCCAACTTTTTGTATTAGTTTTGTACATATATAGGCATAACGCCTCTGCACCAGCCAACCGAGGACGTCTTTATACCCAGCAAGAAATGAGACCGAGGGGTACCCTCTCCCAACATGTTCAATACCTATACACATTCCAGACTATTGTTACTTAACACGTCCCCCAAGATGTCTGAAAGGAATGCCCCAGATTCTTGCGAGACAATGACCAACACAAAGCAGGGGGGGGGGTTTCTCTCCGTCTCATACTTGCTGTATGTGGACGTCTTGGTCACAGCCTATCCTTTTGATTTGGCACCTGTCTTCCTATTCAGCACTGAGGACGCACCTATTGAATCCCAACCTCAGTGTCTCACAATCATTATGGCATTCTCAATTGCCACAAGAAAAAAAAAGAAGCTGCATCGTGCGCAACAGGCTGCCATCATTTTGCACAGCTTGAACACCAGCAACGTGGAATACCTATTTCCTTCAGAGACTTGTCCAACTTTAGACTCTTTGAACCTTCTGCGCTGTCCATGCCTGACTTATTGTCCCCTGAAATTGACACAGTCCCCTCTGTTCCTGACTCGAAGGAGAAGCTGGCGCCACCGTGGAAAGCCATGCGGGAGGAGATTGGGTAGGCCCGTTACTCATAACAACTTAATATATGTGGTAGGTTTTAGGTCCTGTATTTGCAAGTCAGGACTTCAGCAGTGTTAGAACTCACAGAAAACGAAATCATGGGAGAAACCTCAAAAACCTCGTCCCATTATCGAAGGCAAAACCGCATTCCTTTCTTAACGTGCATGTCTGGAATGCCCTTTTGCTCCGGAATAAAACTCATATTTTTGTTGACTATATTGTGAACTGGAAAATGATGTTGATGCCATATTCGTAAAAGAAACCTGGTTTACAGCAGACAATGCGCTGGTAATCGGCAAATATTCCTCCTTGGTATGAGTTTCTGACTGTTCCTCGGTAGGATATTAATTATGGTGTTCGCATTGAGTGTCCTATTTAAGCAACTCTGAATTTTCACATTATTCCGTCTGTCTTCGAAACTTGTAATTTCGAACATGTATGTGTCATTAATAAGTCAAAATCGCTCCAGTTTGTTGCCATATATTGCCCTTCGCCATCATCAACCAACAGCCCTAAGACCTCGGAATTTCAAGATGAGTTCGAGCTGCTTCTTGATGAATATTCTATAGTTCCTCACCAGTTGGTCGTACTTGGTGATTTTAATCTGCATATTGATGCACCTGAAAAACTGGATATCAGGCGTTTCAGGTAGATTGTTAATGCCCTTGATTTCTGTCAGCATATCGCTGGACCCACCCTTATAGATGGACATACTCTAGATTTAATAATCTCCCGTGCAGATGGTGACATTGTTCAGGCATTATGCATTCACCCACGTCTACTCTCAGATCATTGCATCATCGAGTGCAGATTGAAGTGTCAGAAACCCTATCTCATGACGGTCATCTCGAGAATACGGAAAGATGTATCCAAATCTATTTAGAAATCATCTTGACGAGCGCCTTCCCTGGACTGCACTTGATGATGACCCTAGCTCACTTGCTGAGGTAAATGAATCCATCACCAAAGCCGTGCTTGATGACATTTGTCCAGTCACTACTGAGGTTCGTGTCGTGAAATCTGGGCTACCGTGGTATAACAACGATATCCATGAAGCTAGGCGAGCCCGTAGACGGCTGGAACGCAAGTGGCGTAAAGGTCGATCAGATGCTGACTTCAATGTATTGATTAGCGAGAAGGACCGGGTATGCAAGCTGATTGAGGACGCCAAGGCTGCCTACTTTTCAAGAATACTCTCGGAGGCAAAGGACATGTTTTCCACAATCATTGGTCTCTTCGACACCTCTACCAGAACACTTCCAGTTTGTGACTCTGATATTGAACTTGCTAATAATTTCCTGTCAATTTTTGTTGACAAAGTTAAGCGGATCAGGGCAAAACTTACCTCTGAAATTGCCTTACCACTAAACGTCGCAGAAAATTGTCAATATGACAGTCAATTAGATCCAGGTAAAATAATGTCACAGTTTACTCCTCTCTCTCAGTAGGAGATTTAAAAACTTATAAAGCAACTTCCAAGCAAAATCTGTTCACTTGACATAGTTCCATTATAGCTTATCAAAGACAATCTGCCTAGTCTGTTGCCTATAATTTCGAAAACTGTCGATGCTTCGTTAGTATCCGGGGTTTTCCAAGATACCTTCAAAAAGTTTGTAATCACCCCTGTACTTAAGAAACCTACTCTTGATCCCAATGCTCTTCAGAGTTATCACCCGGTCTCTAATATTAAATAAATCACAAAGATAGTTGAGAAGGCTGCAGCAGGTCAGGTGATTACACGTGTCAAAAATAACGTTCTTGGGGATAAATTCCAATCTGCTTACAAAACACATCACTGTTCAGAGACGGCCTTGATCAAGGTAAAAGTGACATTCTCGAGTCTCTTGACCGCAACAACGCTGTATTTGTGGTTTTACTCGATATGTCTGCAGCCTTTGATACAGTTGACCATCAAATCCTTGTTGACAGGCTCGAAAGATTGCGTGGAATTTCAGGAACAGTCAAGGCATGGTTCAAATCATACCTCGACAATCGGCGTACGAGAGTTTCTGTTAGGCGTGCTCAGTCAGTTGAAAATGTTTTAAAATTTTCAGTGCCACAAGGCTCTGTCATCGGACCACAATGTTTTATTATGTACACTCACCCAGTTGGTGATAGAATCAGATGAAACAATATAAATTTTCATCTTTATGCAGATGACACCCAACTTCATGTAGAATTTGACCTTGAGGTTCCTGGTGACTATGATAGAGCCCTCACTAACCTCTCCATGTGCATTATGAAGATCAATGCTTGGACAATGCACAATAGGTTACAGATGAATCAGGATAAGACTTGAACTCCCTTCCTGCTCTTCAGCTTAAAATTGGGGACATAGCCATTGATCCATCCGCTACTGTTAGAAACCTTGGTGTTTTGTTTGATTCATTGCTGTCCATGACCAGTCATATTAATTCCATTTGCAAGAGTGTAAACTCTCATATCCGTAATCTTAGGCGTATTCGCCGATTTCTGACTTAGGAGTCTTGTCCACACTGTGCGGGCTTTAGTTCTTTCTCGCATTGACTACACCAATTCGTTGTTGTATGGTACCAGTGAAGTTGATCTCTAGCATCTTCAGGGCCCGCAAAATAAAGCGGCGTGTCTTGTGTTCGCATGTGGCAGCTCAGTTCAGTTTATACTTCTATCTCTTCATTGGTTGACAATGCAAGAAAGAATTAAGTTCAGAATTCTTCTTTTACGTTTACAAGTCTGTTCGTGGAGAGGCACCCAGCTATTTATCTGAGCATTTCAACCTGTACAATACTGGTCACCCGCAGGAAAATCGGAGACTACGGTTTTCGTCGGATGTCACTCGGCTAGTTGTCCCACGGTCCACCAAAAAAACTGGACTTTTTTTTTTCTTTGCTGTTGCTCCAAAACTATTGAACCAGCAGCCGTGTGACATCAGGGAAGTGGCGTCAACCACTGTCTTCAAACGCCCCCTGAAAACGTTCTTGTTCCCAGACAAAGGGCATTCAGACACATTTAGTTTACTGTTTCAACTTCATTACATTTTTGTGTGTTAATTGTTTAACAGGCGTTACCCCCCCCCCATCATCAAGGCCTTTCAGGAAACCGGTACTGACTTCCTAGTTAATTATCATTTCTAGTAAGCTCGACTATGCATATCCATTAGAATCACCGAGTTGGCATTTCGCTTTGCAATTTTCAGAGATTTAATCCACATCAATGATACACACATGAAAGACTCTCATGAAAGAATTTTCCTAAATCGATGACGTCATGATGACGTCATCAACAAACAGAAAATTCTGAAACCGCTGAGTGGTTGTTCACAACCACGTTCCTCTAGTTGGTTTTATGGCATGTCACGTGACCCTTGGTGAAGTAATTCTGACGATTCTCTTTTTGGAATCTCTCTTCATTAGGGACTTCAAGTGTACCTTGAAGGAACCAACATGCCGAAGATAGGCTTTTGAAAACGTGTACAAAATCTATGGGGGAAGATTAAGTATCCAAAAATCCATTTAAAAATATGCGATGACGTCTTAATGACGTCAAAAATTTAGCAAAATTCTTTCATCAGTGTCTTAGTTTTCTGTAACACTAATGTTTATAAAACCTCTGAAAATTGCCCAACTTTTATGAAATATTTATTAACTTTCAGACTCCTAAGTACATTTCAAACCGAACAACAGAGCATAAAGCACACAATTTCTCTTTCGTTCTCATAGTAATCTTGCGCCAAAGTTAAGGACTACTAGTTAAATATTCAAAAATCAATATCAAATAATGTAAAGATGTCATCGTGACGTCATAAATTAGGCACTTTTGTTGCAGTAGGGTATGTGCAAGCTAAAACATTGATGATGATTGGGGATCGCCAAGTTATCAATAGCGTGCCTCAAAAACGTGTACACAGTCAATGGGCCGAAATAAAGAGTCAATAATAAATCACTTGATCACGTCATCAGGAGGTCATTATTCAAGGACCACTTATACGTAAGGGTCCTTCATTGGTGCAACTTTGATGAAGATCCGAAGTTGTTAAAGGGGATAAAGTTGTTTGCAGAAGAAACGTTCAAAAAACAAATGGGCTTTTGAGAAGAAGAAAGAATAGGAAAAAAAACATACTAGAACAAAAGAATTTCTTTTTCGTAAAGTTGCCAAAAAGAAGAAGAAAAAGCTTTATCGAAAGCAACGGCTGCTTCGGCAGTGAAACCAAAGCAGATAAAATGCATATGAACCAATAGAAATGGGATCCAGCAACCACTCTGCTGCAAATTGTGATGGATACAGTAACAGATAAATTTCACATTTACTCAACTGACACTGACAAGAATTACAATGTTTTTATATTACGTGTATTTTTATTTACCACATTTCCAGATCGATGGGAAAGTTTTGAAATTTCTGGACTCTGCCTCGGCTGGGGTGGTGGTGTTCTCCTTCGGCTCTACTTTCCATATAACTGACAGAGACAAGGCTCAACTCTTTGCAGATACATTTGCTACGCTACCATATCGTGTGCTGTGGATATCTAGGGTGGATATGACTGGAATCCCGCTGGGAAACAATACGATGATTGCCAAGTGGCTGCCGGTGGAACAAGTTCTAGGTATCACATCTATTCCTTTGCCTATCCTACCAAACTCCATTAGCCTTCATAATGTTAAGATATTAGGGAGTAGAAAAGACCTCATCCTAATTGATCACAGTTCTCATGAGGGGACACTGCAAGTGAATTTTGTTGGCGGTCTTTCGGGCGACTTACGGAGTAGGTATTGGCACTAAGCGAAGCCTGCAAAGAGTGTCGTGAATGATACATTGAAGGTTAACCTTAAGAGCGCAGGGTGGAATCCGACCCCTTTCGACTGTTTAGGTTTTCTTTGATATATCCGTGTTGCTATTTTCAGGAGCTGAGCCCATGGGAGGTTTTGGGGTAACTCTTAGCTGTTATCTGGATACCAGTCAGGGCTATCACAGTGATAATCAGATCAAGATTAATCATTTAGATTAAACCCTTGGTAT